TGAGATCAAGGAGGCTTTTTTTGGCATTGGCTTGAGTGGGATCATTACTGAACACTACATAACATTTTAAACTGGTTAGATTAGATGTTAGTAAGAAATTCTTCACTATGAAAGTGGTGAGGCACTGGCACAGGTTGCACAGAGCTGTGGATCCCTGGAAGTGTTCAAGATCAGACTGGATGGGGCTTTGCGCAGTGTGGTGGAAGGTGTCCCTGCCCATGGCAGAGGGGTTGGAACTTGATGATATTTCAGGTCCCTTCCACCCCAACCATTCCATGGTTCCATGATTTCAAGATTTTCTTTGGGAGGTGACCTGAAGTTAACCTGCTTAGTGACAAGAGGTATTTACTTACAACAAATGTTTTACACAAGCATCTCAAATTTTACAGAGCACTTCATTTTTTCTGTTTTCATTGCAGAAAGAATCAATCTGCAAAATGTACTACTGGCGAACAATAGAAGTGCTGGTTTCTAGTCATTGTTACCTGTGCTAGTGCCATCACCTACTTAAAATGTGATGATTGATTGCAAATTTAACCTGTGAAGGCAAAGGTGGGGCTTACTGCCTCTGCTTCCAAATAAAATTTAGCAAACAAACTCAAAATGTCAACTGTTGATAAGCCACAATATTGTGATTTCAATCTGCAGACCATGATGAAAGTGTCTCTTTACATTGTGTCCTGCCTCTAATTAAAACAGACTTCTGCCTGAATTGCATCTGCTGTCATTGTCTGTATCTATTCTCCCAATAAAATATGTATTTTAGACCTTTGATGCTATTTCTGCAATTCTTAAGTAAAAAATAAGCAATATAAAAAAATCTGTATTCTTTCATTAAAATTCAAATAGACCAAAACAGCACTTTAAAACAATAACTGAATTGGTCAGACCTCTAATCTGAAAATTCCACAACCTTGGGGAAATTGAGATCAGTGTGTGATCTCCTGCACTCTCTTTGTAATAAGCTAGGCACTCTAAGCCTTTCTCTGACATAAAGTTAATCCAGCTTCATCCACCCTGAGTTCACATTCCAAATTAGGCTCTTTCTGGCCTTGTTTTCTTTTAAGTACAGAATTTGCTGGGTTTTACAAGTAAGTATTTTGCCCTCTCCCTCTTTCTTGCCAAACTCCTGGCCCTTGACTTCCCCTTTCTAAATCACTCTTCCTTCCCATATGATTTCCAAATTAGTCATCATGTTCCCTCCCTCTTTCATCTATCCCATTCTTCCTCACTTCATCCTGTTTCCTCACCCAATCTCTTAGGTTATCTCTTAAAGATCTCTTAGTCACAAGTTTCCTCATTCCTCATCCCTTCCATTGATGGACATGACAGTAGCAGCTCTTTTTAAAAAATCACTTTCACAGTGAGATCCTCACTGAATTAATCTCTAAGTACACCCTTTTAACAAAACAAAGTCCATAATACAGCACTGAGTGTTCACCAGCAGAAGAGGTACTCGTTCAAGAGCAACAGACATTGAAAGCTTTGATTATAGTCAATAGAAACTATGTACCACTGCAAAGAGAGTAGGTTTAGAAACAGCTCTCACGCCAAGTTATTGTTGTTTTAAGTTGAGCAACACTAGCTTTGTATAGATACCGGTGAGACAATTTAAATGCATCCACTTTCCTTTTGAATCAATGGATTATCTGTACTTTGTGTGGCAGTGGCAGAAATTTGCATCCATCCAATTTCACAAATAAATATGTGGTCTTTGTCAGAACTCTTCTGTTTAAGAAGCCACTTAACCTGACAAAGTTATTTAATGACCATTCTATGTCATTAAGTATCTTCATTTAAGGGAGTGAATTATCTTGAGGAGAGTTTAACTTTGAAAGATGGCATAACACAGGTAACAGATTCTGGACACAGAAGAATAAAACATCAGCAGAGATAGAGAAATCCACAGGAAATAACCAGATTTTGGAGGGACTGAAGGCTTGAAAGGTTGTAGACAACTGCAGACTACAAAAACAAGAGAGAAAATAAAATAACAGTCTTAGATTTATGTAACTGAAGAAAGGAAAATAAGAAAAGAATCTCAGCCTGCTACACTGACATTAATTAAGGTTTACAGCAGCCTAAGAGTTTTGGCAGCCTTGGCCCCACTTTCCTAGGAAGAACAACAAAATATTGAGAGATGAAACATCATTGCCAGAGTGCAAACACAGGGTCCTATTTGGAGGTCAGAACGAGACTCGACTTTGGTCAGTTCCTAGTCTGCATCATAAAAGCAGGATTTAAATTATAGCAATTTCACACAGTTATAAATGTAATTCCATTACTTCCTCTCCTCTTCTTTAATCACAGAGGCTATCTTGTTTCTGTTCAGAGCACAGTACCCCTGGACACTTCAGCAGGGTCAAACCTGCTTCACAGAAAATTGTATGCTAGTGGTGGCCACAGTCTCATTAGTTTTAAATGTAGACTAAAACCAGGGGGATGAGGCCAGTACAGATCCAGTGTAGTGAGATCAGAATGATGCAATTTCTCTCTGAGGTAAAATTATTCTGTTTAGCCATTCACAGAAAATCGTTAAGACTATAAATAAGACTCCAAAGACCAATAAAAGAAGCATGAGGGAAGAGAAAGATAATTCCATATTTACAATGCCTACATATACATACAAATTTATGATCATTGTTTTGGATTAGGTAAATATTAAGCATCAATTCTGCGAGGTACCATTTAATGCTTGTAGTTGGACTTTTCTGTAGACCTCACAGGAGAAACAGGTCTTGGCAAGGTAGTTAGAGAGAGAACGAATTAGGGAAAGTAGATTTACAAGTCTTTAAAAACTTGTTACTAAATGCATTATTATAGGTACTGAGACTAATTAAAGTTCTGCAACAGCCATCAGTTTCTGTGAAGAAATCTCTCTGTTCACTAGGATTAAGTTTGCTCCAGCAGCAAGATTTATGTGAAACTACAGTGAAACAGATTACAGAACAAGTGTTGTTTGATTCACACATGCTGGTCTTCAGTGTGCTCCTAGAGTGCAACCACTGTGTGCTCCATCTGCAGCTACCTGCAATCTCTTCCAATAACCTAAATTATTACTACAGTTCAGGCAACAGCTGTAGGACCCCTTTTCAAATAGTATCATCCCATGTCTATAAACACACACTCTAAATTGGGTGCCAGCACTGTTTTTGCAGAATACTACAAAATTTTGCTCAGGAGATGAAATGCTGTATCAGTACAAACAACATGTGTCTACAAAGTGAAGTTTTGGAGAACAGAAAAGCCTGGATGCAAAATTTTGTAGTATTCACCTGCATTATTCACCTGCTGAATGAAGCATGGGGATGTCTTATCTCTTGACTTTAGAAATTATTTGCACACCAAAACCAGGTATCTACAATACTTCACCAAAACCAAACCTTTGTCCCTGAAGAGAAAAGGCTGTTTTCTCTATTGTACCAACAGTAACTATTGAAAAACTCAAATATATGTTGTTAATATATAAAACTATATTGTTTCAACCGTATCCTACTCATTCCACGCTATTCCCTCTGCTGCTATCAGCTTGCTTAACTTATTGTAAGATGTAAATTCCTGGTTATCGTTAGTTATGTTTTAGGTACTGTAAACATTTATAAAGCTAAGCAATAAAACAAAAATATTATTGTGATATTATTAAAACAAGAACAGAGTGAAACAAACACATGATAATGATGAAAGATACTGGGGTATGTTTGCACAACTTGGGTATATTTTTAGGACAGGGTGTCTTAGTGACCAAATGTATGAGAGAAGAGGAATTTCTGCCTGTTACATCAAATTATTTTGTTGGCTTTCTAAATATTCTGGACTAAAGTAATTCTTATATGTAGAGAAAATATTTTTCCATTCCACAGGTGTAGTGTGGGAATTACTCATCTGGTACATAGGTAGTTCCCAGCAAATAAATGTGTCACCAGTCATTATTGGTATTACCTGTTCCTCACAGCTTCTGTGGCATGACAGCTGACTACAGCCCAGTGGGTGTATCACCAGTTGTTACACAGATGTCTTTTTTTGTTTCTGGACAGGCTATTAAACAAGGAGAGAACAAAAAATTCCTGGGTTTTGTGTTCAACTATAGCTTACATGGTTTTACTAGCAGCCTCACTCAGGCTGAAAAGAACACTAAAGAAACTGACTTGATGTGGAAATTAACAAGGATTCAGTTTTAAAACCAGAAATATAGGGAAAGTGATTGCCTTTGCTGGGTATCCATCCCTTGTTTGCAAACACTTGTTTTGCAATTAAAACAAGGAAGGAATTTATAATTGACTAAGGGAAACACAGTAACCTGAGTAAATAAGTGAAATATCCGCACCCATCATATCTCTGGCATTAGTTCTTCAGTTCCAAAGTCCAAGTTGACATCCCTTTAACTCTTAGTCCTCTCCATTTTTCCTCTGCAACCCTATTAATGGTTAATCTATGCTCGGGATGAACTTGAATGACGTGTCTCCAACCCCTATAGGAAGTGCTATCTGATCTGGGCCACCTACCCCTGCAATAGCAATTTATTTTTATTACTGTCATCAGGCATCCCCCACCCCCAGCTTCAATCCCAATTTCCGCAAGTTCAGCAGAGAGCCAGCAGGAAATGCCTCACTCTCACTGTAAAACTGCCTGTGTGCCACGGCTGTGGAGCAGGTTCCTACCACACAGGCACTGCTGTGACTAGCAGCCAAGGACCAGCAGCACCCCAAACACTGGCACAGGGCTTTCATCATACCAAGGGTGTACCTCAGTACAGGAAGGAAACCCTTTCCTTGTTAGTTTAATCCTCAGTTTAATCCTATCTTCTACCCATCACAAGCTCACTTACAGTTGTAGTGGTTTCTAACATTTCTTGGAGGGTTTTTGCACAAAAAGCTTTTAGAATTAAGTTCTCTGCACATTTCTTCATTTGCCAAAAGTCTCCTCTGTCATTCTGCACACATAGGGTGGGAGCCACTGTCCTCTCTAGCTTTGCACCAGTGACTTTACATACAGCTGAGTGATTCTGAACAAACATATGGGACTTTAATAATATTGTGTAGTACATTTTACTGGGTATGTAAGACTGTTGATGTCTTATATTAGCTGGTAAAAAGGCCAGTTTACAAAAAAAGTGTTATATAGATGCTTGGTATGGCAAAACCCAGTTGAGGGTCATCTGTCGGTTACTGAACTGAGGAAGCCAATGCCTGAGTTTCTTCCTTCCTTTGAGCTCCAGAAGATGAACTTGGTGGGCTTCAGGAGAATGCTTGGAGTTCACCTACAGCCAGTGACCTTTGAGGGTGGTATGGCGTTCCTCCCCTTTCACCTGGCTTCTGAGGAAAGACAATTGAAGTGACACGTTGTCTTAGAGATGACATTCAATCCCCTGAGCACCCCAGCGCATCCCTCACACCTCTGGCCAGGAGAACTGCCGCGGTGTGCTGGTGGGCAGCTGCCATTTTCCACCCCACAGGCGGCCCTGCAAAGAGATCACAAAATCCTCGGATGCACTTCTGCAGTTGAGACTATACCGCCTTAAAACAAAACACGTTGATCAACTAGGATATCCTCCAGCTCTCTTAAACGGTATGGGTTTGAAATGCCCGCAAAAGGAGCTTGTTTCCCCCGGCGTGTACTCTGGTGGCACGGCGGGCTCCTCGATGAGGGTAGGCACTTCGCTAGCGGGGACAGAACCGTCAAGAGCCGACGCATTTTCCGTCACGTTTTAACAGCCCCGAAGTGTGAGGGAGCCGGAGTCCCGGCTCGCGCCTGGAGCTCGGCAGATCCCCTTGGAAGAGCAGGCAGGCGCTGCTCCCCCTGCCAGCCCTCCATAACCAGGCCGCGATTTTTAATCAAAAGCCTTATTGCTGAGGAGGCGGCGAGCGGAACCGCGCCGGGCAGCGGCGGAGGCTGCTCTCCTCGGCTCGGGGCAAGGCCCGCAGGGATCCCCGGCCGGACGGGCGGGTCCGCCCGGGATAGCCCAGCCGGGTCGGCCGCAGCCTGCGGGGAGCTGCGCTGCGGCCTCCCCACGCCCGCCCTCTCTCCCTCCCGTATCCCTGGGTCCGCCCGTATCCCTGCATTCCCTGCTGCAGCATCCCCTCCTCCCCTCAATCCCAGCAGTAGCGGCGGCCCCGGGCTCGGCTCCCCGCGCTGCGGCGGCGCTCGGCGGCGGCTCCCCCCCGCCGCGGCCGCCATGTTGGGCTGCAGCGGGTTCGGCGGCGGCGGCTGCCGCGTGTGACCGCGGGAGGGAAGGAGGGAGGGAAGGAAGGAGGGAGGAGGGAAGGAAGGAGGGAGCGGCGGGGGAGAGGAGGGCGCGGAAGCGGAGGGAGGGAGGGAGCGAGCCGGGGAGGGAGGGCGCCGCCGCTACCCCTCCCCGCCGCCCCGCGCACGCACACACACACAGACACACACAGACACACACACACATACCCCGCACACGCACCGCCCGAGGATGCCCTTTGCCCGGGGGGGCGAAGCCGGGACACCATCGCGCCGCCGGGAGTAAAGCCACCGCCGCCGTCGTCGGGGCCTCCCGGCCCGCAGCGTGCGGCCGGAGCGGAGACGCCGGCGCTTTCCCTCCGCCTCAGGACGCGCACCGGGTGGAGGAGGAGGAGGGCGCCGTCTCCGCAGCAGCCGCCGCCGCCGCAGCCATGGGAAGGATTTGACAGGGCTCGGAGCGCTTTTGCCGGTGTGTCGGGGCGCGCGTCCCGCCCGCCGCCCCTTGGCGCAGCGGAGGAAAAGGGGGCGACAATGAAGACTTTAGTTTTTTTGAATCACTGAAAAGCCTTAAAAGGAGACTCGGTAAGGAGGAGGACGGGAAAGGCTGCCCGGGGCAGGACGTGGCTGCGCCCTGAGGAGGGGGGGCTGCGCCCCACCCCGCGGTGGCCGCGGAGGCGCTGCCGGGGCCGGGGGGGGCGGTGGGGCTGCGCGGCCCCTCATCCCCTCATCCCTCTCTCCCCGCCGGTGTGCGCCCTCGATTCTGCTGCCTTTCGCTTATATAAATACGTAAATACATCTGTTTTCCCCTTCCCATCGGTCCTGGGAAGCGGAACCGAAGGGGCTGTTAGCCCGTGGTGCTGCGGCGGGGCTCCTCGCAGGATCGCGCTGCATGATCTGCATTGGGAATGAAGGAGAAGACCTTCTTAAATATTTAACTGCGTGTGCCTATGCACGCACGGTGAAATCGGTGTCAGGCAGTCTCGGTTGAATTTGAGTGCAATTATTATTGTTAAAGCATCAGGAATGCCCATATATGTTTTTGCCCCACTTCTTACTAAGCCTATTAATTTTTTTTAGGATAGCTATTTTCTTCTCTTAAATGTCATGAATACAAAGATATCCACACTGTATGTGTGTGTCTGAAACTCCAAGGGTTTAGTTTCAGGCTGGGAACACCGAGGTGGGCTGGCAATTAAGGACCATCACAGTTTGGCACTTGCTAAAAATACTGTTGACTTCTTTTTAAACAACAAAACCCTCAAAAGTTTTTTTTTTGTTGTTGTTTTTCTGACAAAGTAATAATAATCATTAAAAAAGAAACCCCAATGCAAACTGAAACAACCATGTCTGGAGAAGTGCGTTTGAAGCAGTTGGAGCAGTTTATTTTGGATGGGCCAACACAGACTAATGGGCAATGCTTCAGTGTGGAAACCTTGCTGGATATACTCATCTGCCTTTATGATGAATGTAATAATTCCCCTCTGAGAAGAGAGAAGAACATCCTTGAGTATCTGGAGTGGGGTAAGTTTGAAAGTGTTTATTTTGTGTACATCCGTCCATGTTCCTGTCTGCTTTGTATAATGTCTCTGTTATTTATGTGTGAGAGGGGTTGTTTATAACTCAGTGTTTTACTGGGAAGTGTTGTCAGTTCCACTATATTTAAACGTGGTAGTGGTGCTAAAAAGAAATCTGTATTGGTTTTTTGTCTTTGAGGTATGCATGTAAAACATGGTTCATATTTTTTATTATTCTTTTTTGACATGGATCGGGCTGTTGTGTTCCTAGCATATTTGTTTGCCTTCAGGCCCAGCTGTTGAGTTTTGTATCTTACAGTTGCTGGGAATATGAAATGGTGAGGGATAAATTATCTGATGCCTGCAAAAATATCAATGCATAGTCCTCTGATTTGCTTCTGCAGTTGAATCTATACTGCTTTAAAATAAAACATGTTGATCAACAAGAAAATCCTTCAGCTTTCTTAAATGATAAGGGTTTGAAACATCTGTGAAGATGGAGAAGATGACATTCTCTTCTTTAATATAAAATTGTTGCTGACTTAAGTAGATTGCTTTTTTCATCAGGAAAATTAGAGTTGAAAAGCAGAATGAAAATCTATGCCTGGCAGACTTTTCATTTTGTGGGAGATAGGGTATTAGTAGATTTTTAAAGGAAAGCAGGTGAATGATATTGTGCCAGTTCTTCTTATGTTGTCACAGAACTGGTTGACTCTATTTTTTTCTTTTTAATTCTCTTTCTTCCTCCTCCTAAACTCAGATGTAAACCAGAAGATGCAGTCTGACATAAGAACCTTGATGAGAACGGTTACTGTATCTGACCTTCAAACTTCAAAGTCATGCTGCACTTCTGTATTTGCATACAGAACCATTTACCACATTTGCTTTGTAATAAATACATCACCATGCCTCCTTCATTAAAAAAAGCACATTTTTGAAACATGTTAACAGGCATTTGATTCACTAGGTGGTTGAGCTCTTCGAAATGAAGTTGCTGAGGAAAGACATTGTTTTGATAACTGATCTAACAACTTGAGGCTGATATGTGTGTGTTTTATTTTCCTGCTCCTCTCTGTAGTCATACTGACATCTAAAGGACATCTGACTCAGTAATTAAGTTTCTTGTAGTGTTCATATTGCGCTGTTTTTTGTTTTCTTATTATCTGGAGGAACAGGCTATAATTAATGCATTCTAGCAAAGGAGGAAATAGTAATTAAAAGTACTTCTGAAGACTCTTCCCTCTAAAACTGCCACTGGCATACAGAAGCTGTGAAAGACTGGGGAAGTGTGATGGCTCCAAGGGTATTTTCTGTGCAGGAACTTAGTGTAGTCTGCAGTGCATCTAGCCAGGTGATGATACCCTGTAAATAATAATAGTAATAACAACCAAGTTAACCATATCTAGATGATCAGAACAGCAGTGTGTTTAGGACCCATTGTGTTGGGTGCTGGTGCATTCAGTGGTGGTTGTTTAATGGGTAAATGTATCATTGCAAGGCTCTGACAGTACCTGAAAATTTCTGTAATAAGCTTTCCCATCTGCTGATGGAAATAATACACTGTTTTGGAAAGGCTGGACTGGAATAAGGTTTCTTGCTGGCCTATTTTTCCACTCTCATGCTCCAGCTGTGCCTTAGCAGGACTCTGAGGCTTCAGAGAAGACCAGTTGCTTCCATTTCCAGGGCTGAGTTACTGTGGTCCTCTGTCTGCTCCCAGCTCTGCTGTCCAGCCTTCTGCCCTGGGAGCTTTCCCAGGAGGGCTTGTGAGGTGACAGGGAAGAGCCAGCGGTGGCTGGTCCCTGCTGGTGGAAGTGTCTGTGTGAATGATGTCTGTATCCTGCAAACACTCCCAGGAGTGTCTCCTCTGAGGGCCAGCCTTCCTAGTGAAACTGGCGGTCTCTGGCATTCCTTTTGGGATCAGGGAGTTGGCAAAATCAGGCCCTTAGAGAGGTTGGGTACCCTCCAGTGCTGTGGTGCAGTAGAGTTACTGAGGGTACACTGTGCTTTGATATAATCATGACCCCTCGTATCTCTCTTCCCGGAAGGAGAAACAATGAAAGTGGTTGATTAGAAAGAGCTTATATGTGGTTTTCAAGTCAGAGATGTGCTGAGTAGTGGCAGAAGTGGAAGGCTGGCCGCCAGAAATCATGGACTCTGCCCGCACCTCTCTAAAGGACTCAGTGTTGAAGTGCTTTCAGCTCAGTTTTTTTTAGCTTCTCTATTTGAACAGCAGGAAAAGTAGCACAAATTTTACACCGGGGAGTTCAGAAAGCTGCTGCATGTGGAGCGCTCTTGGTTTTGAATGTACCATATAAAATAGTGTGTGTTAATTTATTTTTCCCATCAGTGGAATAAAACTTGGGGGCTGATATATCTATGGTGGATGTCAGTTGGATGCTGGCATTTTGTGGGTTTCTGCCAAACATCCGCAGATTGGCTCGATTATTATGGAGAGTGCAATCTGAATGTATTGGAAGTGGTCAGGGGACTGGTATGAACTGGGATGTGTGTGTATGTATACAAAATTCAGAATACAAATTTACTCCTGAGAACTGATTGTCATCTTAAACTGCCTTTGTTAAAATAAATTATTCCTTCTAGAAGTAAATAAGGTTTAGTCTGTTAATTTTAAGAAAAGGCTAATAAACATCTGTTCAGTGGTCACACAGACTCCTGTTGAGCAGCAAATAATTTTTTTCTTGCTTTTCAGCAGTGTAGTTTTGAGGTGTTACTGTTTGGTTTTGTGGAGGGCTTGAGCTGGGGTTGCATTTGGGGATGTGTATTTTTATACAGATGAGATGCTATCTGCTGTATTTCATGTAAGACTGAAGCACAATCTGACTTTTTGGGGGAAAGGTTTAGGAGATACTCTACCATGGAGAAGCTAATGTCTTAATGACAGCCATGTGACTGCTGCTATATTTAGGGGAACTAAGAAGCTTCATGTTCTAGTACTTAGATCTTTTAGGACTACTTAATGAACTTGTAATCTAGAACTATAACTTATTAAAAAATGAATCAGGGTAAAAGAATTGAGATCTGAATTATTTCTTCATGTTTTGATACTGCAAGTTTAACTCAGGAAGTTAAGAAAGTAAGGTCTCTACAGTGTGAAGTTGTGTTTTAAATTTTTGTAGAATTTCAGTCTTTTTTGCTGCTTTGAATGACATTAGAAGTGTCAGAGATGGTTAGAAGTGTCAGGTTAATTATTTTGTGATTCAGAAGTTGCTTTGCTTCTAAAATCATATCATTGGCTTTAAGTGAAAATATAATTGCATTCCCTATTTTTATACAGTATTAGTTTTGTGAATTTTTTGAAAGATGATTTGATTTTGTTGTTTATATTACATAGGTATCTTATATGCCAACACAGTCTTGGAAAGAGCCAATGTATTTGAGTTCCGAGGGTTAAATCAGGGCATATTTTGAGATATCAGGAAGAAACTGGAACATTTAGATTTGGCTTGTTCTATGTATTTGATGCTAGTTTTCATTTTTATCTCTATTGATAGTTGTATTTGTGATTTAGAAAAGGGCTTGTCTAATTATAGCAACTGGAGCTTACCAGAAAAAACTGTTGAGAATTCCAAGCACTTTGCTTTTTCTTGTCTACTTGTGTGTGAGTTGCCACGCTGATGCAAGAGTATAAGGGAGGTAACGAAGGCTGATAAGGTGAACTTGAAGGAGAAATATAGTGATAAAAAGAAGCTTTTGGAGATGCTTTGGTTCTGGGAAAACTTTCTTTCCAATGGCTCCAGTTTGTATTGCTTTTAAAAAGAAATGAGAACAATGTTATTTAGGATTCATTGAAAGAATAATAGAATAAACCTCAA